AACTTGCGTATATATATTTAAAGATGGTTTACAATGATGGATGAGAGCAACAAGTTACGCACCTTTCTGGCCCCCTGCTTGGCAAACTCCCTCCCCAGGTGACGGCCGATGCCTCGACCTCCGCCGGTGATCAGCACCACCTCCTTGGTCAAGTCCTTCTTTCTGCTTGGCAACAGCGCGCACAAACTCGCCCTGACTACATGATAGAGCATTTGGATCGGGAGGAGAAACGCACGACACGCGCTCTTCAGCTCCATCTCGGGAAGTGCGCGCGGACAGCAGGCAAGGCGTCGCTGCTCAGCCGCAAGTTGACGCGCTCCTTTAAACCCGACACTGAGACTTGTGACTTTCTCCGCTGTCTGTCAACAGCTGTATCTACAGCCTCAGAAAGTTTGTCATGAGCAGTCCACTTTCGACGGGGACAATTAAAATAAAAAAAAAAATAAAAATACAAATAAAATAGAACTGCGTTACTTTTGAGACTTTCTACATGTAAGCAGAGCAGGCTCTTGAAGTGTGTGATCAGTCATTTTAGTGGAGAAACGTGAAACACAAATCCAGGCGACTCTGTGCTGCAGAAACTGGCTTGGTGTTGTGTTCCTGTCCTGTCTTATATATTACCTCCACTCCCCCTGACTCGCTGTTTCCACTGGTGGAAGGACCTGGACAAACCTTGAGGGGAGGTTTGTAAAAGCAATAATCCTGATTGACAGGTTAAGTGGAGATGAATATTTTGCTCCAGTGCCCGTGCGCCCTGAATGGTTGCGGGCTCGCCTCCTCCCCGCCCCCTTTCACGTGCGTGTGCAGTGGCGGTGCTGCGGTCCTGTCACCCCCTCCACCACCATCTCCAGTGGTAGCCCCACAGCGTCCCAGGTGGGTGCTCACTGTTGTTTGGAAAAGTTTAACTTCATAATCCCATTGACCTGAACTTACCCTCATTACATCATTACATAAAGGTGCAGAATAACAGTGGCAGCTGTATGTCAAAACAAGACAAATGCAAGATCCTAAAGTACAAAGGTACTAGATGGAGCTATAAAAAAAAAAGACTGGAAATGGCTTAAAACACAGCTTTTACCCCCTATTTATTTATTTTTATTTTTTTAAATTGTGGGGTGGTGGTAAATGGGTAAAACAAATAAGCAAACAGATAATCACGTAATTGCTGAAAAAGCACATCTGGTAGTCAGTCAGTCAGTCAGTCAGTCAGTCAGTCAGTCAGTCAGTCAGTCAGTCAGTCAGTCAGTCAGTCAGTCAGTCAGTCAGTCAGTCTGTCTGTCTGTCTGTCTGTCTGTCTGTCTGTCTGTCTGTCTGTCTGTCTGTCTGTCTGTCTATCTATCTATCTATCTATCTAGACAGACAGACAGACAGACAGACAGACAGACAGACAGACAGACAGACAGACAGACAGACAGACAGACGTGAAGGTCCATTATTCAAGTTTTTGTAAACCAACTTGCTGCAGTTACAGTATTTTTGAAACAGGTCGTGTTTTTCTGAGCGTACGAGTGAAATTTGGTATTTAGGTCAACTCACTCTCAGAAGCCTGGCAGGATGACAAATACAAAACCACATGCACATCTCCTAAAAATATATATATATTTAAATGAAACTCCTATATGAATAAATGTGCCTCCGACAAAATTCCGGTTTATGATGTTTGGCCCTGGCACTGTGATCTTTACTAGGAAATGAGGATGTCTACCCCCCAACCCCACCCCCCCATCAGGGATGGTTTTAAAGAGTGGGCTCACAATGGTTGCTTTGTGCTGTGCTCAGCTATTTAAGGAAGATGGGCTATAAAGTGTTTAAAAAATATGTTACAATACAAGTTTGTATGCCAGTTTTATTTAACAAATTTTGTCAAAATGTGTGTCATTTATAACACATTGTTAGCTTTGTAAAAATAAATATAAGCTAACTGGTAGTTCTAAATTGTCCCTAGGTGTGCGTGAGAGAGTGAATGGTTGTCTCGTTTGTCTCTGTGTGTCCCTGTGATGGACTGGAGACCTGTCCAGGGTGTCCCCACCTCTCGCCCAGTGACTACCGGATCTGGGAACCAGTGACCTCCGTGACACAAAAAGGAAAAAAAAAAAAAAAAACTGGTAAAGATAATGGATGGATGTAGTAGGGTAAGTGGATTTATATTTTTTGCGAAATGCAAACAATAATATAGAGTACTGTATATCTCAGAAAGTGCGGATCATTTATTCTCATGCTATCACTGCCATCTACAGATTAACTGTGAAAGTTCAGATAGTCTGGGGTTTCTATAAATCCTCACAGGGAGCATTTTTGTAAAATTTCTTCAGTTGCACACTCTTTAAAAAGCTGCTTTGCATCCAAAAACCTAATTTCATCACCAGACTTCTCTTTGGCACCAAGAACATGAAAAACAACACAACTCTTATTAGCTATGTACTTGTTAACGCTGAAAGGTGACATAATGTAATCTATGAACATGCATGAGTAATTTAAAACTTATGGTATATACAAATATTTTGTGCAGTATTTATATCTGCAATGTCTGTCAGCTTTACACAGCCATCACAAATGTTGTGGAGTGTAGTTATTTTTCCTGGCAATAGACAACTAAAGATGTCATCATGTGAAACCAAGGTCAGACTGTATTGCATGCTGATGTGGGCGGGCGAAAGCAGGTAGATAAAACATTTTCCCCCTAATGACTTACCTTCAGCATTGCAGACCAGCTACACCACAGACACTGGCTCTGCAATTTTAATAATTGGCTTTGCTGCGCTTGTTGCAGCCTTCTTTCTTACAGTAATTGGACTTGTGTACTCTGAGCTGATGAATTCAGACATATCTTGTGGGGCTGCAAATAGTGGGAAGCTAGCTACTCATGGTTTATGGCTTGTTTGTCAGCATGGCAACTGAGGTGAGTAACACTGTGTATGTAATTGTTAGTTCTTATGTTGCGTTTCTGGTAGGGTATGACATTTGTTTTAGTAAAACTATTCAGCACATATGTAGACACAAAAACAGCTATGCCTTTTGTATTTGGAAGAAATCTACTCAACTATCACACAGATTGTGTTGCTGTTCTTTTTTTGTCCTCCAACAGCTGATAAAACAAAGATGAGAGACATTTTAGATAAAGAGCCATGTCTTCCAAAGGTTCTGGGACATACAAGGTTGTGCAGCTTCCTTATTTTAGGTTGTTGCAAATATGGTCTCTTAAAAAGAATAACCTTCACTTTCACTAAACCCTTCAAAGCTATTATTTTTTTCATTTTTGTAAACGTATGTTTTTTTTGTAAATCTGTTTCTTTTCGTCTGTGCCAAATTACATATCATTAGGGTATAAGTCACCAGATCAGTTTTTGTTTATATGCTTGTATTCTGATTCACTAAAACATTTTTATATACTAGTATAAGCCTACAAACCTATCACTGTTTATGAGTGATGGGAAAGTGGTTTAGAGTATGTTAAAGGTAGCAAATGGGTTAGTGTTTTCTAAATGCATCTGTGCCATCAACCCAAAATATCGTATTTTCTGGACTTTAAGTCACACTTTTCTTCATAGTTTGGCCAATCCTGCGACGTACAGTCCGAAGTGACTTATATAAGTTTTTTTCACTATTCATGATGACATTTTTGACTGATGCGTTAAACATTCATTCATTCTGACATGAACCAAAGAGTAACCATTACCATTTGCAGCCATGAGAGGGCCCTCTAGGCTTTTGACAACTACATGCTGTTCCTTTTCTGCTTACACTCTCGCCCCATCTTCCTCTTGAGTTGGCGAAATTGTTCAGAAGCTTCACCGAGGATGAATGGTAAATGGTAAATGGGCTGCACTTATATAGCGCCTTTCTATCTTATTGAGACACTCAAAGCGCTTTAAACTACAATCTGTGTCCTCATTTACCCATTCATACAGCACTCTACTAGATCTCTACAAAGCTAATTGAACAAATCATTCTAAAGAGAATAATCAGTGCTTTATCACATTCATACACTGATGGGACCCACATCAGAGGCAACAAGGGGTTCATTGTCTTGCCCAGGGACATTTCAGCATGTGACTGCTGTGGGGTTTGAACCCCCAACTCTTGCATTGGAGGACGACTGCTCTAACCACTCAGCCACAGCCGCCCCCTGATGAAGAACTCAATAGATTCGGTGATGTGGAATGAAATTGGTGAATTTACTGGTAACTTGCTTGTCGGACTCGTTGGCTTGTTATGTTAGTTAAGCCTGTTCAGGATCCCAGGTATTCTCCCTGTTTTATTGTCATTTCAGAGTACATGTCTGTTCTTGCACGTTGTGAAATACACATCTAAAGAAAAGCATCTTATACTCTGAAGTGACTTATATATGATTTTTTCCTCTTTGTGAGGAATTTTTTGACTGATGCAACCTATACTCCGGAGCGACGTATAATCTGGAAAATACGGTAGCTACAATTTAACATATTGTCCTTCCCCCCTACTTTACACCTCTTAGGCACCAATTAGCTCCTTATCACTGGTACCCTGCACAGCTGGATGCCTGACTCGCCAACATGTCACTTCCTGCCTGTGGCTGAGATAGTGTGGACCCTCACAAAGTGGTAGCTGGAAAAAGCAGCACAGGGGGTAACCTGGCAGCAGTCCTGTGCCACAGGCTGGCAAGGCAAGAAGTCAGACATCTGCCATTCCCCTGCGCTCAGGCCCTAATCTACCCAACCCTGCAGATGGCAGATTTCAACCTGCCCTCACACCAACAAAATCATGCTGTGCCCATATTGTTTCAAGGCTGGACGGCAGTCTATTTCTACAGTATCTCACTGGAGACTTGTCTGTGTGCCAAAAAGTGCTCAAAGGGAACCATGCCCCCACTGAGCTCAGGCCATGCAATGAAAAGTGTTTCTCCCCTTCCAGCTTAGCCCCTGAATGACTCACACATGGTCTCAGTGAACATTCAACCTCGGGATATGATAAAGAGGTGTATCACACAATCAAAGCTGTTTTGATACATGAGGTCACACCTGTAGTGGCAGATGATGCCATTAGTCTTAACCCCCCTCCCTTTTTAAGCTCCTCAGCTGTGGATATGGTGTTGTGAGGAATGATTGGATGTCCAACAAAATGCCACAGCTGAACTTGAGGAAAAAAGGTCACTTGAAAATGTGCTGGATAGTTTTGATATTTTTTTCTTTTACACATAATGTCTCCCTTGTTTTCCTGCAGTGCAGGTTAATAATGAACAGTTATATGTAAAAACACTGAAAGTCTTTAATTGCTGTGCAAATAAACATTCTACTGTCTATCTTCTATTGCACTTTGTTAATTAAGTTTGACATTAATGTTTTACATTAACAATACAAACACTAAAGACAAAAACCTTGCACACCAAGGCAAGCAACAAAATTAGTTCTATTACAACAAACGGCCTGAAAACACAAAGTCTGGAAACTCATTTTAACACAACTTCAGCAATTGTAAAACTAAGTACACATGACTAAAAGGGAAATGTCAAGCCCTATCTTAAAGGTAGTCTTTCTTTTTAAGATGTAAGACGTCTTCCTTTAGCTTTCAGGATACTCAGCCTGCCTTTCCTTCAGTGTTTGTTGTGTCCATGGCAACAAAACTCTAATCCCACCCCCACCAGACGATCAGGTGAGTCTTTCAACACGGTAACTTTTTGGTTACTGGTACTCATCCATGCTCAAAAGAGGTTTCATAATTTTTTCACAGGGTACATTCGACATCGGATGAAAAATGAGCCAAAACATTATTAATCAGAATAAATGGAACCAAACAGGATGGAGGATCGAGCAGCAATATGGCAACAAAGTGCTGCTGGGCAATTGGGCTGAAGATAGACTGCAAGTAGGCATATTTAAGCTTATTGATCATTGTGCTTTTATATAAACTATAGGAATGTTTCATAGCATTTATATGTAAATGCAAAGTTTCCTTCAATGTGGATTTACAGATTATATTTGTTAATGCTTCGTATTAAACATTACATAGAATGTGTGTGTGTGTGTGTGTGTGTGTTTTTAGCACCCCATTTAGTAGTAAAATCTTTAGCAAAGTTATTAGGCAGTCTTCTGACGGGACAAGGTAGAGCCAAAGACTAATAACTGCACTGACTAGAGTTTTCGCCTCAGGCTGCTAGTTGAGGATTTAGAAAGAGATTTAGGAGAAGGAATGACTCAAGGTATACTGCACAATAGAGTGGATCAATAGTTAAATGTGAGCTTTGCTGATCCTTGAGCTGGGCTCATTGCTCAAGCCTCAGTATATCCTCCTTCCCTTTGTCCTCTTTGCACTGTCTGTTTATTTCTTCTGACATAGTTCACTCAGGAGCCAAAGATAGCCAACAGCACCAGTCATGTAGACTACCGGCCCCATTGGGACTTTAAACCAGACGTCTTGGAGAGAAGATCTGCCCTGCTGAGAGCTGAGGTCAGCTTTAACTGCTCATTCAAGGCATTAACACCAATTGAATGCCTGTCACAACCCTGCGAGTCAGGGTTTTCTTCTCTAAGTTGTGGACACTTCTGCATAATATTGATAGCTGAGATAAAGGGCTGTGATAAAACTCCTTATGAAAGCAAGTTTCTGGTAAGACTCAGCAGTCATGAAAAATCTGTAAAATCATCAGTCCTAAAAGGCACTTAAAGGCTAGTTAGAGCAATTTGCTTGTGACACACAGTGAGCCCCTTGAAGAGAATTGAAAAATAATAGGTCTTGCCCTTTATATCTTAATCCAGTGAAGCCATTTGCATACAGGCTATATTAAAACGTCTTTGTATTGTTGTCCAGGGACTTCCATACAAGATGATGTTTGGTCATCATTACCCGTCACCCTCAGATTTTTTGGCAACAGAGTATAAGCAAAGCTATGCAAAAAAATACAACAATCATTTGCCAACTGTGAGACACTGGGGTCCAGACAACGTCACACCTGAGAAATCTAACTGCTCAAATTCTGGTAAGATCACTTAACATACTACATATAATACAGACACTGTATAACATAGGAAAGTATTATCAAACATTCATTTTCAATCAAGTGTAAACCTGACTAAATGTGCTAAAAATTAAATGACCAAAATCACTACTTGTGCTACTGAACAATTGAAATCAAGGTCTCTCAAATTCTTTTGTTGTTCCAGTTCATTCATCAGTGTAATTAATGCTCTTAATATCTTTGAATTCTTTTACAGCCTTTTCAGCCACCTCCGGCCCGCTGAAGTCTACAAACCACAGTTGTGAAAAACTGAATTCACAACTTCCAGCACTGACTGTGTATCAGTCGACGTATCAAAGCCATGCACTTGGAGCCTACTGCAAGAACCGGTTTGCCAGAGCATCACGAACTCTCTCCAGCCATCTGTACCCAACTAATCACATCAACAAGGACCTGGACCTGAGACAGCACTTGCTTCTACAAGTCCCCGATGTTTGTTTCAGTCAGCAAATGATAAAATAGGCTTAAAACAGACCTGTGGCTCCTGAATTCCATTCCATGTTACTTGTATTTAGAACACCTAATCCAAGTGGCACTGCTTTTCTTGATTCATTTTATTATAAGCTGAGAGAATAAAAACTATTAACTGAACAGACCATTTAAAATGATTATTAAGGAACAAATGAAATGGTATTAATTGTGCTTATTTGTAGCATTGAATTGCTGTTCATTCATGTATAAGAGCATTTCCCCACAAAGTAAAAAAAAAGAAGCTATACATTTTAGTGCATATTTTATCTATAGAACTCAGACAAGGCTTGGCAAATATTACTAATTTGAGAAAATAAAATAAATAAAAACAATTAAGTTTTTTTTTTTTAATCATTAGGTACCTACTGGGTGCTTAGAAGTATGGTATGGTATGGTTAGACTAAGCTAATGCCTCAACAAAAGCATCCTCCCAAGAGACATGTCATTCCATTAGGTGTTTAATTACAAGGAATCAAAGGGTTTAATTGGAAGGAATCAAAGATGCTTATGTTTGATGGTCAACCATCTGTGTTTGCTTCACCTTTTTCCACATCCCTGCTGCCTTCCTGTGCTGTTCTGCTTCACTCTCTGTTAGCCGGTTAGTCACTCCACTGGGCCGTTGTCTGTGTCACAAGACACTTACCTGCGTGTGCTACAGTAAACCTCCAGGAGCTTTTCTCCAAAGCACTTTGTTTGCCTTCTGGACCACATGATGGTGCTAAAGCAGCATACCACTTTAGTTCATCAGCTTCAGAATGTATGGTGAAACACTTGATTAGAAAAAAAGCAAACAAGTAATATGATCAAATAGTTTTTACAAGTTTCAGTTTCTAATAATTTAAATTTAAACCATGTTTATGGTACTTATAGGTCAAACAAATAGTCCCCCTCAAATACTATTCACCAGTAACTGTGGGTTGATCAAAATAAATGGCATGGTTGTATATTTCTTTAATGATTACAAAATGGATGACTACAAAGTAGATATATATATATTTTTTTTGATACAATGAACAATCAACTCAGTCATGACTAAAACATTTAAATTGTTTCTATTGACTAATAAAGGATAACTAAAATGAAATAGCAGCAAATAAATAGTCTAGAGAGTTTCAAACTAAGTAACAAATGCTTTATAATCCTAACAATTTGTATTGTATGGCATACTCATTTACATCCTGTCGCTGCTTAAAGAGCAAGTTTAGATAATGACATTCTAAATAAGCTGCTGTGTAAGTTATAGATACAAACAAGTGCAATGATAGATTTTTACTATCTTGCCAAAGCACTGACTATAAGATCTGAATGAACTCATTCACTCTGAAATTATTTATGAATTATCTTTTGCAGTGAAGAGGGTGGGCATCTGGGAGGACATAAAACTACCACAATGGAAGTAAAGAGTAGCAAATCAAAGCAGCAAATACTTAGTATGGAAACAACCCTTGCATAAAGCCAAACAAACAGTAAAATGACAACCATTAACAATGTAATACTTTATATCCACTGTCAAAGATGTGACATCTGAAACACACAACTCTGTGTAATATCCAATCTACCAAAGTAGCATTATGAAACTGGTACGTTATGGCTTTGAGCAGAGGGTATGTTATTAACATCTCAAATAAACAGTGCAATGATTGCAGGTTTGCATGAACATTTACAAATGGGCTGGGTAAAAAAGTCAGTCAGCTTTAGACTGAATGTAAAGTGTCCTCTTATAAAAATACTCATTAACTATCTAATCTTGTCATTGAGTAAAAGCTGATTTTTGTTTTTTACACACTTGTTTGTCGAGGATTTTTATCAGACAGGTAAAGGACAAAAGGAAAGAGTATGCCCTTGGCTGCAGAGAGGATGCTCAAATTCTCTTTTGCAAAAGCAGGTGAGATCTCATCAGCATCAAACCTCATGGTGAAGTGCCGGCTGATACAATAGATTGTGCCACTCATGGGGACACACTGGAAGACAGGGCAATGGAGAATTGATTTGGAGCTGCACTCATACCACAGTCGTGCAACAGTATGGTAGCGGTATACACTGACACCCAGCAGAGGGTTAACATCAAACCTGTAGAGAAATCTCCCCACAGCAACCATATCTGTGGTTCGGTCGTTGCTGCCTACCATCAGACTTGGCCTCCAGGTGTTCGTTTTGGGGTTGTAGCGCAGTAATATATATCTAAGAGTACCTCCAGAAACAAAAATTTCTCCACTGCACACTGTGACCTGATGAGCAACAGCAAATGTGTCATTTGGTAATGGAGCCACAAATGTCCACCTGTCAAGTCGTGGGTCGTAGCGCTCCACTGAAGAAAGGCACTCTCCTCCAATAGCATAGATGTACCCATCCAGTGCTGCCAGTTTGCAGCGAGGCCTGGCTTCATTCATGGGACTGATTTCTTTCCAAATGGATGTCAAAGGATTGTAGCAAAACACTCTCTTTGAGGGTGTCATTTTTCTGTCTTTGCCTTGGCAGCCTACTGCCACAAATAAGTAGTTATCCATTGTACACATGGCACAGGCTCTAGAGATGACCTCTTGTGGGATCAGGCAGAGAGTATGCCAGGAGTCTTTGTAGTCATCATAATAGTACATTGCACTGGATGTGCTCCACTGTTCTGCATTTGATCTCTGCCCTTCTGTGTTTCTCAACCAGTCTTGAGGGTCCATATCTGCAACAATGACAAATTGTCTTCCTCTTGTTCTCTTCTTCCAAATTTGTTCTCGCTCATTAGCCATTAGCCGTCCATAAAGGTTGGGGTCACGGAGCACCTGCAGATAGTTGTCTGACATAACCCCTAGAGCTGCTTGCTGAACTGACATCTGGTTATGTTTCTTGGCTAGATGAAGTACTTCTAAACAGTTACCTAAATCAAGTTTACTTTTCAAATTTTCAATCTCTGTACCAAGAAGAAAGTCTCCTGGAAGGTGTAAGAACTGAGCCCCCGCTATTGTCTCCAGATTAGTCTCCTCCATCTTTTTATGCTTGTTGCTATCCGTAGAAATTTGAGGGTAGATAATCTTGTCACTCATTGAGTGAACCATTGGAGATGATTTTTTTGAAATTTGAAATGGGATAGAAAGCTCAGACTCATCTGCTGCAGAAATATAGCTTTCCTTGCGTAGGAGGGCAGGCCTTGCAGGGCGTCTCAGCCTGAGGCTTCCTTCCAAGGAGGCATCCTCGTTTTGGCTTTGTTTAAGAACCAGATCACGCATAATGATAGGGCTTACAGAGGAAGGAAATTCTGTGGGGCTGCTCTTATTGTTTCCAAACTCCTGCGTTGATTCAATGTTCTTCTCGTATTGACTCAGCAAAGTATTTGAATCTGTAATTGAATGAGAAGAAGACTCAACATAGTAATCATAAATCTTTCCATGCACTATCTGGTCTTCTGATCCTTCCAGCATTATTTTAGCATCTTCCACTTTTATTTCTGCCTTTGAGAGGAAGCTAGAGTAGACCCCCTGGTGCTCCAAGTCCTGCCTTAACTCTCTGCCCACACCGACGCCACCCTTCAACTTCTTCAAACAGCACGGGGAATGGCGTTCTTTTAGAGTGGCCATCTTATTTTCTCTTGGATCAGGAAGGCTCAAAGCAGATCTAAGTGAAATATTACAGGTAGAATCCATTGGCTCATTCTGATTAAGTAGGATTTCCTCTTTCATGTATATATCTGGATCACTATTGGATATTCTACATGCCTCCTCACACTTTTCAGCTTGGCTTTGAAAAGTTTCTGCAATTATTCCATTGTTGCTGTCAGATGTCAAATCCTCTGTGGTTAAGTCCTGCTTGTCCTCGTCATTCTTGTCTTGTCCTTGTAAGCTTTGATACTGTAGCATCTTCTTGCAGTTTCGGCATGTAGCATTTTGCATTTCTTTGCCGTCGTTTCCACATGGTTGTCTTTCCCTCACATTCCTGGAGCTGTAGAACCTGTAGGCCCAAGAAAGCAGCAGCACTGCAGCCACAGAAAAACTTAGCTTCAACAACAGGTGCATGTCAAACTGGACTCCCAAAAGTTCTGCGATAGGCATAGCTGGAAAAACGGCATCCAAGCGTGTCTGATGGATCCTTTTAAATGATATTGTCAGTGCACCTCAGCTGACTTAACCCGTCTGGTTTTCATTGTTGGAGAGCTGCTGTGATCTGATGACTACACCTCTCTGTCCAAAGGATCAAGTGTAAAATGATAGCCCTACCATTGCTATTTGCATCCTTTGCTCTGCAGAGGCGGAGCACCTTTCATGCATCACCTGTGGCAGGTCAGATACAGCCTCAGTAACCATGTGCAGACATTGCAAATACCAATAGATCAATATTTGCTTTACTGCCTCACCCTCTTTTTCTCTCACGACTGTACAGATGTCATCCTCGCAGTAAAAACTCAAAACTTATCTGACAAAGTCCAAGTTAATTTTAAGCTGGTGGAGCACAATTCATTGTTGTGTTTACATATATAAAAGTAGTGGCTTATGTTATAATTTGTTTTAATGTGAATGTAATTTTTTTTTTACAAACATAATTATATGTTACCTCCCATCACCTGATCCCACACAGGTTATGAGTTGCACGAGTGTGGTTTGAATAAGGGGTGGAGTAACGATAGGTGATATTTATCGAATCCTTAATAACCAGGATACACCTGTTTACATAGCCATGGCACCTATCAAAGGTCTTTTCAGGGCAAAGAAACATTCTGAAACTACGGTCTCTAAAAAAGCCTGACATTACTGCCAGAAAGACAAGTGGCACTGGCAAAGCAGTACAAACCCCCCCCCCCCCAAAAAACTGTCAGATGACCATCAGAACAGCAACACAATGGAAAAAGTTTTTAACAGGAACGCTGACAGTGTCATTCACTTCCACTAGATGCAAACGTGTATTTCTCTTGTACTGGAAACCTGTCACTCGCCTCCGTCGCCGCTGTCAAGCTGTCATCTGTGAAGATGATAACATACAAGAGCAGGGCCACAATCACCAACAAAGCTGTATTTATTTTAACAGCACTCTGCCGAGCAGTACAAAGATGCACGAGGTGGAGACTCATTCGAAGGGTGTGTCAGATGTCCGGTCTGATGTGGGTGCTTTTGGGTCACGAGATACCTTTGTCTGGTGACAACAAAAACGAAACCAGAGCAAGCTGACTTCTGAATAATTCACAATTAGTTCATGAAGGCAGCTTTTTATCCTCATTACTTCTCCAAAACAACGACGGTCAACTACCTGTTCGACTTTTTTTACTTGTGCAATTTAAGATATTTAAGAAGGCACAAGTTACATTTTTAATGACCCTTTCTAGGATTTCCTGCAATAACTATGCAGATTAGTAGAGGCCTAGAAAGGTAGGGTGCACCTAGTTAAGCATAAATTAAGGCTAAATGTGAAACCACCATGGAGACATCTTTTTTTAGACAGACTTAACAGCAGAAAATTAAAATTAATTGGAAATTATCATCAATCACTGTTATAAATAAGCCTATTTGAGGTGGTAACACCGTAGACAGGTGATAGATTTAGTTTTGGGTTGCAAGAAAATATAAAACCACATATTTAAAAGAGTTATGTATTTATTTTTTGTTGGATCTACCGGTTTGTTTGCTGAGATACATGACGACTTGTAACATTGTATAAACTTGTAGACAATTGTAATACAGCACTCATCACTCATACAAAGCTAGGATGCAGTTCTTCTGGTAAGGTGATCAAGTCATGTGACAACATTTTGCATGTTCTAATGCTTTGAGATTTGAATTTATTTTCCATCCTTTTCAGTGGTGTGAAATAAAATTGTAAAGGAAAAAGCATTAAATTGCACACTGAGTAAAACAACTGGGCTATAAAGGTTTACAATGTGCCCTTTCGTAACCTGACTTAAAACAAAAAAAAGGGATCAATGGTCACGCACATGTTTAATAAGTTGGTTTGTGCTTTTCTTCTAAAAGATTTTAGTTTGATAAAATGAGATTGTATTACAAATGGATGTGTCTTTTTTTTTCAGCTCCGTAAAAAAAAAAGCAAACAAACAATCAAACAAAAAAAAAAAAACCTTCAATAGTGCCTCTCATTGGCTTAAACCTTAATCCCTGGACAGTATATCCTCAGAGTTACAATTGCAATACATGTGACTTCTAAAATAAATAAAAAACAGGATTATGGTAATTTAGGTGATTCTTTACTGAACTGCAATGAGACAGCAACAATGCAATTGTCTATTAAAAAGGAATATTGGGGTCAGTTTTAACAATTTGTGAAAACAAGACTATTTTAAAGATAATTTAAACATTTTAAGCATAGATTAAAACAAAAAAACCTTTATAAATGTCCCTAATTTGTAAAGATTACTCAAATTTGAACCTAAACAACCTTAGTAACTTTGAATTTCTGTGTAATATATTGTTTATTATGCATACCCAGGACTACAGATCACAAGATTTCTGACTTTTTCAAACACTGCTCAAAACGTCTACAAGTAAACTCAAGACTTTTGAGTTTTAGTATCTGTCCATTTTAATACAGGTGAAATTAAACAAATGCAACAACCCTGTTTACACAAGCTGCCTCAGGTGAGTTCCCCACTGGAATGGTCGCTAAAATGATCCCATTACTGGTAATTTCAGAGGAAGAGAGTTATGCATCGTACACAACGTAGGTCACAGGTAAATAGCTGGATGACAGACCAGTGACAGAGTTGCAGTGCTGTCAGGTGCAACACACAAAAGGGGAAGAAAAAAAAAAGAATCGTCAAACGTCACATGCACCACAACCTCAAAACAGCAGACACATGTTTGATTATTTTTTACTATGTCCTTAAAGAACTGCCATGTAGATTAAAAAATAACTTAAGCAATAAACAGAAAATTAGTTTCTTTTCTTTAAATCTCTGAAAACAGAGCTGCACGATGTACAAAGGTGGAGAAGCATAAACTCCGACGATTTCAGCAACCATCCCTCACCATAACCCATATATCTGTTTTAATTATTTTTCTATATTTACACTGTTGTACACAAAATACACTCAAAAATGAGATCTTATTTTTTTTCCAGGTTTCTCAATGCATTTGAATCTTCTCGTACATTCCAAGCCATCAGAAAGAAAATTATATTATTATATTTATATATATTTAAAAAAAAGGTTCCATTGGAGCGTCTGCAGATTTTGTCCTCCTACGGTTTATCAGCTTGTTGCTAATCTGGTTCATCCCAGGACACGGAACAGATGAGATCGGTTGATCAAATGGTGCGGTCAAAGCCAGTTCCATAATCCACGTGTCACTAAACACCAAGCACATTATGACTCATTAAAAAATAAAAAGTCCAAATGCTTTTTTTATCTTTTCTGTTTCAAAACAATTGATTTTATTCATCAACAGGCAGATGTGGGAAAACAAAAACAAAAATTAAACAACAAAAAAAGGTAACAGGGCAGGGCTATATAGAAGTGACTGTCATGTTCGTCACATTGTCCTTTATATATTATCTTGACTGGTTTTTGTTTAAAAAACAGTGACGGACCATCATTTGGTGTCACCGTTTCCTGTTTGAGCGGCATATGAAGGGTCTGTTGATGACTGGAGAAGGCTTTCAGGACTACGGAGAGTTTATGCACTATATGTGTGTGTGTGTTTGTGTGCATATGCAGATGTTTTGTACTGTAGGGGCATACATGTGTGTATATTGGTGAAAGAGAGTGACTTGAAGTTCAGGTTTCACGTCAGTTCCGCTGTAACTGTGACAAGAAGTGCAATCCAAGTCAGTCCAAGGACGTCCACGGCGGAAGCTTTGTCTGGAAAAAAAACCCATAAAAAAGTTGATTAGACATGATCTTTAAGCTTATTAATATACAGTGAAAGTAGCATGAAATAATCCAACATTTTAAATCATTATATTTTGAATTCTCAAATTCATGTTGTTTTAGTTCATTTAAAATATATATATTTTTTAAGAAATTGAAGAGCACTGCAATTTTTTTTTTTCAAATAACAATTTTTTGAAAAATGTCTGCCAAAAATGAAATGGAAAAATCTCAATTCTCTACAAAAAATGTGTCACACCAAACGACAAAGGAGGATTCAGATCTTTAAAATTGTTGCAATATCTTGTTAAAATACCAGAGACGACACAAACGGGCACTGTTCATTTTGAGGACAAACACAACTTGTATTAAAAAGACCAAACACAGCTGTGTCTCCAGCTGAAATGTACTGATTAATATTTTCTTGCTCAAACTGTGAAAAGAAAACAAAAACAAACAACAACAAAAACTTAGGTGTTGTAATTATTTTTGGTTAAACTCCAAAGAAGCAAAGCTTAAACAGATGGGTTTCCTTTTAAAAGTTTTTTTTTTAATCTGTCAGATTAAATTACCCTCTCATATTGACAGGCATGGGCTCTTGATAATGTTATAAAATGGGGAAGTAAAACTGGGCCCATAGTGACACAGTGGTGTAATGAAATCTGCAGTTTGTCTTCACATGGGAGAGTTGAGTTTGAACACCCGTGACTTTTAACTTTCCTTTCATTAAAAAAAAAAAAAAAACATTGTTGAATGCTTGTACAAAACCAGTGTAGACATGCAATGGCAAAACTTTTACAAAACTTTCCCTGTTAGATTATCTATTCATCTCTTTTTTACCAAGATATTTGCTTAACCCATCAATGCTCATATTCAGTTTCACATGCCTGCCTGGTTCTGCTAGTCTGTCTTAAAGCAGGTCTGAAGAAACAGGTTGCAGATGTTGATACATCTACTTGGACTTAGTGGGTTTTTCTGTTTTCTTGGGCATCGGGACCGCCTGAATGTTGGGCAGAACTCCTCCCTGAGTGATGGTCACTCCTCCCAGTAGTTTGTTGAGCTCCTCTTCATTGCGGACAGCCAGCTGCAGGTGTCGGGGGATGATCCTGGTCTTCTTGTGGTCACGAGCTACGTTTCTTGACAGCTCCAGAATCTCAGCGGTCAGGTACTCGAGCACCTCTTCCAGGTAGATGGGAATTCATCCACGGCGCCTCCTTTTCAACTCATTTGAGAATTGGGGCTGTAGTTGAGGTATCATTTGAGCTTTGAGATGCTAATCAGCTACTCCTGGTTGTACAAAAACCCCCACCTTGTTGCCATGGTTACGCATCATAACAAATGTCCAAAAGCAAAAAGGTTTCATTAAAAATCTTTCCAGCTGCAAAGCATCCAATACCAGAGGAAACAATCATCCAAAAAGTCGATTTATGTCCAGAAAAAGAGGAATTGAAGTTTTCAAAAGCAACATCCCAGAATGAATGTAAGAGCTACTGCAACATGCAGCCAACTTGAGTGGCGCAATTCCAGAATAAATGGTAAAATGTAACGAGTGAATGAAGACAACAAAATCTGCTGGCTACCCTACCCTACCTTAGATAAGTAATGTTATTAATTGATTTTTTATGTATATGAATGTTTCTGCTCAGTGCCCTGAGATGACTTCTGTTGTGACTTGGTGCTATATAAATAAACTGAACTGAATTTAATTCCATTTGAGATATGGCATAGGTAGATGTCAAAAAAAGCAGCAAAAGCAAATATTTCCCTTTGATATCTTCTACTCCTATACTTTACACAAAGTGTTTACATTATTCTGTCTGATTTTTTTTATCAGAAAGAGATAAAGTACAGTTGTAATGCTTAAAAACAATTTTTAGCTTACTTTTTGTTCTCCACAGCTGAATGCTGCAGAGTGAGCGGCCACTGGACGAAACCAACTCATAGCTAAGTTGGGGGGTGTGGAGTTTTTATTCATTATTTTTATTTTCTTGTCTGTTTCCTTCCTCAGGGTACAGCGAGCGAATTTGCACAAACACATGGCAATAGTTTTTTACTCTGAATGCCCTTCCTGATGCAAACACTGACCGCCGAGCCACTGCAGCACACATGTGGAGCAGAGGCCTGCCATTTTGGGGCTTAAGGGCTTTGCTCAAGAGCCCACAGTGTAACAAATGAAGGTGGAGGCAGATGTGTGTGCTTCACCTTTCCCACCCAAATTTTGTTGCAACTGTCCAGGGATTTGAACCAACCACACGCTCACCTTCTCTAACCTCTGGATGTTATCTCAATATTTTTGTTTGTTGTAACGTGTGGTACATGTCATCAATATTAGTTAATTCTGATGAGTTTATGAGGTTACATATGTTAAACAAAAAATAATTTTGGGTGTCAAGGTATTTTTAAAGGTAATAGTGCAAGCAATTTTATCAAACTCTTCTCTAGAACAACACAACCACAGTCAGGAGATGGGTGTATTCTGTGACAGGGGGATTAAGCAGCATTAGGAGCAGGAACAATTGGCAGCAACTTTCAGCGGGCTCTTTAAAATAACAGGCTATTCATCTCCAGTAAATCAATCCAACCAAGGCTCAGTTTGGGTGCTGACTTATACAGGTATGTGTTCTTGACTGCTCTATTTCTGTATTCAGATGTGAGATCCACTGGAAATCATTGGCATAAATTATAAAAGCACTGTTAGTATGAACTATTGGTGAGGGAGAAGCTTCTCCGTGCAAGGATTAGACTAACACTCTCAGATAAAGGTGTTAATACATCAGTGACATACTTTTAGAATAATGATGTGATGGTGGTTTAATTGGTAAATGGTTGTCTTCCAGTTGGAGGAAACGTGGTTTGATGCACAGTCATGTGAAGAGTCAGCATGTTTTTAGGAAAAACACTCAACTCAATATGTTGATCAGTAAATGTGTTTGTGTGAAGTAGAAGCTGATTAGTGTATCTATAAAAGTTACAAACTCAACAAAAGTGTTGATTATTTTCTGTGAATCAAACTCTAATTTTATACCATTAAAATATGTACTTTAATTAGGATTGTTTGGTTGTCTGTTTGAAAACAGGTTTCTGTATTTGTATAGTATTTTTCTCATCTTTGTGACCACGCAACAAGCTTTTACTTTACAACTTACATTAATTATTTTCGATACCCACGCAAAAGTTATGGACAGCGTGACGTTCAGAATCTTGCTCAAGGATGGTTTAGCATGGGTCGGGGATGCGGGGAACAACCCCCCCCTATTCTCCCATTATCAGCCAACCACTCTTCAATCCTGAGCTGCAACCACCGTTCTGGTTGAAACTTTGAAAGTATTATCTTCTTACAACTGTTAACCTAAGATGTCATGGTTTCTTTTCATTTTATACCTTTCCTAACATCATCTGAGAAATAAAATGGACAAATAATTTGTGATTTACACCCTTTAGTTACTTTATGCTATTTGTTCTAGAGCCTTTGAGTCCATTTATTCTCACAAATCATCTGTGTCTCATTAGCATTCATCAATATTTTTTATACTAAAATTATTATCATTATGCAATCCTGTACTTTTATTCTAAAAAAAAAGAAGAAGAGATATGGAAGCATCAGCTTGATATTGGTACTTCTTCCATTTCTGAAACAGAGATAATGTAAGAGGAAAGTTGTTACTGATGTGGGTGTGTAAGTGCTGACATAAACTGTTTATCCTGCCTGTTCCAAGGCTGTATTTGAATCCCATTCAGTCACAAAAAAGGGCTGACCCCTTTAGGGCGTGGCCAAACCTTTCAAAATGACCTGGTAGCTGTTAGACCTGCAGGCAAATGTGACTCAGCACATTTGAATAATGTGCCCATTGGGACATTTCAAATGAGTTGAGATGCTAATCCCTGAACCATGTTTGAATTGGTACTTTAAAATAATGAAGGTGCAGACATGACAATTACAAATTTTAATTGTCAGTAGAGCAACATAATCTGGTTTTGTACACATTTGAGTGCACTCATCTTATTCAAGTCACAAAACATTGGACACAAACTACTGGATCTCCATGATAAGTATTTGCTCTCATTAGGTAATGGGTTCATTCAAGCATAAGATCATCATCTGAGGTCCCCTCCTCGTCTACAGTCACCAAGCCATCTGTTTTCCTTAAGTTCTTGGCTCAGCCTTCAGTGTATTTGTGCCAAACTGATTTTTACTCTGACAGCTAGGACTGATTTCTGTGGAAATAGATTGAAAGAAAACTTTATGTACTGGACCTAATATGTTAAAAAACAATTTACTTTTCTATTTTCTTATTACTAAACATAAGAGACCAGAGACATTTTAAAAAGCACATTTATAACCTAGGTCTGCGTTCCTTCCTCAATCTGTTCTCAAGTATTTGAAACTATTAAGTTTTGCACTGCCCACATTTCAGATCATTTGACTATAGCTCCCAACTCTTAGGGTGTTGCCTATAAAAGCCAACAAAGGTAAAGTTTATCACCTAAAAAAATAATTAGTAATGAGCTTCTTGATGGTCACACATCTGTCTCAGCCACCAAGAGATACTGCCCACATAAAAATGATAACTTGAAACCTCTGACATTCCCACAGGCCATTTTGATAGAAACACTATTTTTTGACAGAAAACATGTCCTCACTTTCACTCATCTGATAAATTCACTTCATTGCCATACAGTGCAGCTTGACAAGCTGTGCCACAGACTGGAAACTGACAAAGATGATCCAATATGAAGTGTAGGCACTTGTCTACCATGGCCTTGAAAGTCACATTTGGTGGTTCTAACCATCAACTAGACAGACATTTGGATATTCAACCATTCAAGTGTATGATAACCTCTAGGGTTTATGCTATATATCAGTATGAGCTGCATACAAGGCATGTGTGTAAGCCTTTTCTGACCTAATTCTGTCCTTGCTGAGACACACCTGTTCCTGTGGTTACCACAGTATTTGCATTCACAGATTTGCATGCCTAATGTGACTTGCAGGGCAGGGAAATGGGTAAAATTAACGCCAGAATAAAGATCACATTTAAAGACACAAAAATGTGTTGGTTAGGGAAATCATAAAACAACTGAAAGGCAATGTTTCCAAAGCAAAAAAAATACAGTAAGTATAAAGCCTATATCAGACTACACCATGCATGACTAGATATATACAGGTGCTGGTCATAAAATTAGAATATCGTGAAACAGTTGGTTTATTTCAGTAATTCCATTCAAAAAGTGAAACTTGTATATTATATTCATTCATTACACACAGACTGATATATTTCAAATGTTAATTTCTTTTAATGTTGATTATAACTGACAAATAAGGAAAAAACTAAATTCAGTATTTCAGAAAATTAGAATACAGTATTGTGAAAGGGTTCAATATTGGACACCTGGTGCCACACTCTAATCAGCTAATTAACTTGAAACACTTTCAAAGTCCTTTAAATGGTCTCTCAGTCTAGTTCTGTAGGCTACACAATCATGGGGAAGACTGCAGACTTGACAGTTGTCCAAAAGACGACCATTGACACGTTGCACAAGGAGGGAAAGAAACAAAAGGTCATTGCTAAAGAGGCTAGCTGTTCACAGATCTCTGTGTCCAAGCACATTAATAGAGAGGCGAAGGGAAGGAAACAATGTGGTAGACAAAAAGTGTACAAGCAATAGGGATAACTGCACCCTAGAGAGGATGGTGAAACAAAACCCATTCCAAAATGTGGGGGAGATTCACAAAGAGTGTACTGCAGCGGGAGTCAGTGCTTCAAGAACCACCACGCACAGATATATGCAAGACATGGGTTTCAGCTGTTGCATTCCTTGTGTCAAGCCACTCTTGAACAAGAGACAGCGTCAGAAGCATCTCACCTGGGCTAAAGACAAAAAGAACTGGACTGCTGCTGAGCAGTCCAAAGTTATGTTCTCTGATGAAAGTAAATTTTGCATTTCCTTTGGAAATCAAGGTCCCAGAGTCTGGAGGAAGAGAGGAGATGCACAGAATCCACGTTGCTTGAGGTTCAGAGTAAAGTTTCCACAGTCAGTGATGGTTTGGGGTGCCATGTCATCTGCTGGTGTTGGTCCACTGTGTTTTTGGAGGTCCAAGGTCAACACAGGCATCTACTAGGAAGTTTTAGAGCACTTCATGCTTCCTGCTGCTGACCTGTAAGCTTAGAGACCTCTCTGCTTCACATCTGTTTGGGAAACTGTTCCCACTGTATGCTGGGACAAAGTCAGGCTTAAAGTTTCTCCAGTGCTTCTATTTTTTTTTTTTTACAAAAGTAATAATTTTTACTTAGTGCATGTTACTAAACAATACACACTGCAAAATATGAGCAGCTAATGACTGTGTTTCATGTATGTTCATGAAGGCAGCAGGCTTAATGTATGACCTGTTTTCACAGCAGGGGATCAAACACCAGTGTTTTCTAAGGACCCCTGATGCAATAACTGTGATTATAATAGATGCTTCATGGTCATTATGAATTATTCTCTTATGAACTGATACTGCGTCACAGTGCTTTCAGTCCTGAGGCAATAGCTGAATGACAGTTGAAATAATAACATTTATTATTTTTACTTTCTTCTTTGTTTTGTTTCTTCTTTGTTCTTGGATATTCAAAACTTCTCTGCGTTTGGCTCTTCTTGAGTGAACTTTTTTTTTTCTTGTTTAAGTAAAGTAAGAAATAGACTTAGTTTGGGAAATGCTAACAATTTGCTTGGCAGTGTTTTGTAGTCTTAATCCACTAGATACTGACGTGGAGAAACTTTGTTTTATTACAGTTGATACGTATATGAACTCAGTGTTCAACACTATTAGAACGAGCAAACATTTTGTTTTACTCAGTTTTATCAATAAAAAAAAGTTAGTTTGAATACAATTTCCATATTGTGACTAGGACTTTCATGACATTTTAACTATTTTGCTTTTGTCATTAGCAGTCTGCAGTTACACCAGGTGCACTGCATAATTTATAATGACACATTACATATTTAAACATACTTTCCAACACATTTTTAATAGACACCTTGTTTTTACGGTTTAGTTAGGCTCAGGTTAATTTTGCAGTCATTAGTTTAGCTGACACTAATTAAAAACCTGCATGTCCACCTGGGTGCCCCATGTCCATCACATGTTATGTGACTCAGCATCTTTAAGTACTTTGCTTATACTGCAGAGATATTAGATCAGCAAATGAAAGCAGATTATAGCTTTTCTGGCTGAAAACAAAAGCCAGATGTGAGTAGGTTTTACAGTATGGCTGAGATGTAGGTGGAAATGGGCTTTACTAATCTGGATGAGCTATTTTGTTAAAGTTCACTCAGTTTTTCTTACACTGTATCAGAGCTCTGATTGCTATCTCTACTGGGTCGCACTCTCATTTCCGTCTTGGTGAGTCGTGAACCACTTCGTGCTTTACCGGCCAATCTGTTAAGGCTCAGAAGAACTCTGGATATTTAGCCAGAGCTGAATGTTGTTCACACTAAAGCATAATCTACACACCTCTTACGGTCTGTGTGACTGATAATCTGCATCAAATCAGAGATTGTGATACATTTTTTTAAAAAATCATAAAGAAAATATAAAATATGACAAAGGGGAGAGGAAAGAAAAGAGAAATACAGCAGTGTCAATGGGGGACACAATAGTTGAGGCAGAAAAAGAGACCTGAAATGGGAGATTTGAAATGAGTACATTTCAAAGAAGGGGAATGAAATAGACACAAAGATCGCAATGAAAAGAAAGAGGGAGAGACAGGGGAAATGGAGAGATGGAGAGGCTGCCGTCACATTCCTGTGGCTTCTCGCGACAATCCCTCACTTTACATATGATAATCTAGAAGCCACAAATGAGCCATCGCCACACATTTGAAACGCCAATAATCTCACACTCAGCCCAAAGTGACATGCACGGTTAGTCATGGGGAGAGGATTGTTGCTTCCGGCTTCTGAACATCATCAAAGATTAATCATGTTTGAATAACTCACAAGCAGTTTAGACGGGGCAAAACATTCAGGACTGAATAAAAATGACATTTCAATATGGTGGATATGGATTGTAGAAACCCCAAGGTTGTAAAGTATTTGCTTTTTGATCAGAACTACATTTCTGCAGAAATTGTTGTTATGATCTATATATTCAAACACGCATGCACTCGTTTTTTTTTTTTTTTTTTGTTAGTTCAGTGACTGAAATACTTACTGTTTGGATGGTGTGTGTTTTTCATCATGCTTGGATTTTCTGGAACAAACGGAATAAAATGAAGCAATCAGACACTGCAGTTGCTGTAGAGGCAATCAATACTTCAGGCGAATGAACAACACATTTAATGTTATTAAAAAACATATGAACAAAAAGACAAGAAAAAAATGCATTATCTGATAGAGGTTGTTTGCTTCTAACAAAGCTGGATTTCACAGTTTTAGAATTGCCCACTAAACGACACACCCTTGATGAGAAAGAGCTGGCCTAATGGACCTGGGAACGCAGAGCACTAACAGAACAACCGGGAAGCTTTAAGCAGCAGAGAGGGAACCGAAGCTGGCGGCAGGCAGTCGGAGAAACAGGTTTGGAGACTCTACTTTTAATAGGCTGCACCGGTGTCTAACCTGCACGAAACACTCACACGGTGTATTTTCAGTGTTCTCGCAGGGATGAAGTAATTGCAAAAGAGGGAGTGGGAGGGTTTGCAGAGTATTAGCGATCACTCCTAAATTCCACTTTGTGAGCTATTTTGGGATGTTTAACTTTGTATATAAGCAAGTGCAAGCTTGATGTATAGCAACGAGTGAAGCTACTTTGGTCTCACTGCAACAACATTAACACAAAGCACCTCAGGGGGACCTAGAGAAATTAATGGTTCCACTCTCAGTATGCATCCATGTGCTTGCTTGCCTCTGCACATATGGTTATGTGTGTGTTTCTACCTGCACGCTGGTCACTGCCAGATCACTTGTGTTGAGTCACCTTACAGCTATCTCAAACGACACTAGCACATAGAATGGTACAGATTGTCAAAATGTAAATGCAGCTTGTGAATGGAGAATCTCTAAACCAAGCCACCATTCTAAACTGTTATTTCTGATAATCTATCTTGGATACTTAGCAAAGTGAGCAGGGCCTTCCAACATATTTTAAATCTATTTGGAGAGAAAGTAATATCTCAACTTAAGGCCACAGGGGATGGTGCCAAGGTCACTTAATCACCATTTCCTTCCCCTAAGCGTTAGTGGTAGCAATCTAGACTCTGCAGACAGTCGGATGGGCCACACTATGCACATAGACGATTACACCTGTGGATGCGTTGGCGTGTTGAATAGATTTTAGTGCTTTTTCTGGCAAAATGCCACCCACAGTGTCTCTTTACCCTTAAAGTGGGTTACTACTTGACCCACCCAGTCGTTTGTGCATTTGTGACATACTTAACACTCTGTTCAAAGTAATGTTTCAGAAGGAGGATGTAAAAAAAGAACAAATCCATATTCTTGAGTTCAAAAGGTGTGCAAAAGTCCATGTATCAAAAGGCTAAAATGCCTAGGAGTTGATATTTTGTAATGTTATATCTTGATCTTAAAAATGGGACAAAATGCGTCAAAAGTCTAACACTGACGGCTTTTTTGTGCATGCTTCTCTGAGCTTTTAAACAGTTCTGACATGCGGTTGGTTAGATTGGCTTTATTTCAGATTGATAGAGCTGTTATAATGGTGCATTGCTTGCATGGTCTTATGCATCTGATATGCAAGAAAAACCGACACTGTGGCACTGCTGGGTTGGATATTCATGGGAAATAATGACATGATGAGAGAAGCGTGAGCTCGGCCAGTTCTTTTACAGGCCTGATGATGGCTTTTACAGCTTATTTTGCAGTTGAAGCTGGGAGTAAAGACTTGAGCCTCAAAATAGCTTAGAATAAAGACATTTGATGACTAATACAAAAAAGTCCACTTCTTTAACGCTCTAAACTTTAGCTTTTAAATTATGATGAAGTCGTTTAAATCAACAGAATTCAAGTTGGATGCGATTGCTTTTGTGACTTTTAAGGAAAAGTGCGTCAGAGTCCAAAATGTCAATGTCAAGTCACGGTTTTGAAGTTTTCACATAAGACTGAAACTCTTTGTATGAAGAAGCTCCAGGAATAACAGTTCCTCATTTAGCCAGGAGTCTCAAGAAAACACAGAGTCAGAGGAGCCAGAGGTCCCATATCAACACAGGTACATCAAACACATTCAAATTACAATTAACATTTTACCTTAGCCTGAACGTTGAACAAAGTGCTCTTCTACCACTGTCAACAACAAAGGTCTTTTGAATTTAATTGTGAGCCTTTAAAGCCAAGGTTGGATTTTGGCATTGAAGACAGAAAAGAATTAGACATGCCTTAATGGGATGGTTACAATATCCCCTAGTGATTAGTTACTGGCAGCAAGTGCCGCCTTAAAGCAATAGTGCATTCTTCAGCCAATTAGACAAACCATTTCTTATTAATCACACATTTAGTTTTATTGATAATTTATAGTGTCACATGTTTTATTTTTAAAATTTGTAAGTAGAAAAATCTATGTTGTATGTTCTTTGTTACTTTCATCTGCAGTTGCATAAGTAATCCAGATCATATTTGTGGATGCAAGTTGCACATTGATAAAAAAAAAAAATATATATATGTAATTTTCATCTCATAAATTACTATTAAAAATTAAACGCCATTTAATTTTTACAGCTGCATTAGAGCTTCACTGAATTATGTCAAAGAGGTAAGCATACCAAAAACTATGAGACGGGTGTGTGTATCTGTGGAACCCAGAGGATTCTGGGCTGTGCAGCGATACATGGATCCGTTAAGTTCTGCTGGCACTCTCTCCAGAACCAGCACTTTCCCCTCTCGGTCGATGCTGCCATCCAGCAGGCGGCCTCCCACTCGCGTCCAGGTGAAGAGAGGCTCAGGGAATACTTCATTCTATCAACGTGCATTGGGTTGGAGACAAAGGGAGGGAAAAGAGAAGGAAACAGGAGAGAGGGAGGGATGCTTTAAGGCAGCTCAGAGAAGACCAGGTTAGGAAAATCAGGCTTATTTGGAAAAATACAAGGGTATTTATTTTTATTTTAATGCAAAAAGACAATTTTTTTTTGTTGCACTAATTTGAACACCTTGAAAAGAGCTGAACAGATATATATTTCATACTTTAGATAAACTGCTGCAATTATGTTTGTGTGTTAGTCTTTGAAAACTTAAATTAGATGACTTATGCAAATACTTGTGTTATTTAACTATTTAAAATACATGATTAAAGAAAAACAACAAATACCACAAATATATGGTAAGTACATCCAAACACCCCCCCACCCCCCCATACAATTATTAGTCTTGGCACATAATCTTATCTGCTTGTGAAATCCTAAAACCTTGGACCAGTGAAGGATAAGGGGGAATTTCTTTCTGATCAGTCTGCACTGAAGCCTATATGCTGCTGAAAAGCCCAATTGGCTGCATGCCACAAGCCTGTTTGTAATAATCAGCCTTACCTCTGTTCAAAGAGAAGCTTTAAAGATATCCCAAGGTCACAAGACAAAGACAAACACATGTATAAACCTGTGCAGTCAATAGCTCAGTGCCTTACCAACAACAATATGGGCTATTCTTTGGGTCTTATAACAGTGAAGTAGGAATCAAATAAAGAAATCTGCCTCGTGATTCCAAAGCAGCATCTAAGTCTTAAAAGAGATTTGTGCTTTGGGCCAAATTATATATAAAAAATAAAAAAAACTATATATATATTTATATATATATATATATATATATATCGTTAATCATAAATTCAAGGATTCAAGGTTCTTTATTTGTCATACACACCACATGTGGTACATGAATGTACGACTTTGTGCATGTGCATATTGTCTTTTTCCAAATGTGTGCATTCTGTCCCACCAGGAGGAGACCTGGGAACACCTTGTGATTCCCCCAGAGGAACTGGCCCAAGTGGCTGGGGAGAGGGAAGCCTAGGCCTCCCTACTTCAGCTGCTATCCCTGCAACCCGACCCCGGATAAGCAGAAGAAAATGGATGGATGGACATTGTATTCTGCCTCTTTTAGATTATTTTATGTCTTTTTTTCTGAATAATTAGAACATCATGCTACTGGATGCCTCTCGGGGATTAATAAAGTGTATGTCTTTCTAATGAGACAAAAGAACCCTTTATATTTGATTGTGGGAAAGAACAAAGCTAAAACTTGTTACAGTATTGTTGGTATGTTCACCAACAAAAGCAGCACCTGCTGGTCATTTGAAAGGTGTAAGGTGTGTCTGCTCAGCAGCAGTGTTTGTCTTTTAAACAAAAATGTTGATCTTAAAAATTCACATACAAATCCCAATTTTGTCATCAGGAATAGTTCATCCATCCATCCATCCATCCATCCATCCATCCATCCATCCATCCATCCATCCATCCATCCATCAGCTACATTTATGTAACTTGCATGTGCTTAGATAAAAAAAAAAAGGTAAATTAAACTTGCTTAAATAGAGTCTGATTTGCCCTTTCCTTTTTTAAAACCTCATGCACATACAGTACCTCTGGCAGACTTACCTGAAATCCATGCACAGTGATGTGCACCGTGTCCCCTACCTTTGCCCTAGTAGGGGTCATCAAAAGTTTAGGACCTTTAGGAGCAGCTGAAAAAAAAAGGAAAAACACAAAAAAGACAAAGGTCATTGCACCAAGAATGGAGAGCAAATCCTGCCGGACACCTGTTTTGTCGCAGAGGGAGAGAGACAAATACAATTTCCTGTCAATTAAGGTCACAGAGCGTGAAGCAACGGACCTGCAGATTCTTTCATCCAAAGGACTGTGCTGAATTTATTCCCCTTTGGAAGGAAAATAACCTAAATTGGGTGGATACTCATTACTGGAGGAGAATGGGAGAGCAGCGGGTGGAGTGTGGAGGCAGCGAGATAAGGGCCACTCAGAGAGCTAATTCCCTTGTCTTGGTGGGGCCAGCTGTCCCAAGATGGCTTTCATTGCTACCACCTAAAACAATAGGCCACAACAGGGGAGGAAACAGACAGATTCCAATATTGTAAAAATGTGGGGGGTGGGGTTAGTCTAGTGTATGAGGTATTGGGATAAATTGAGCGATTTGCATTCGGTTATAAAAAGGTACAAGATTTCATTAAATCGTTTAATATATGACAACCGGCTATAAGCAGGTTCTGCAAGCTTTGTGATGATTAACAATTTCCCTAAAGATAACTACTTCATATCTATTGCAGTTCCCATATGTTAAGTCCATGGACTGAACAAAACATGCAGAGACTCAAGCTAAGGGCATCCAATCAACAATGCCTGTGAGCCCACTTCTCAAGTTCTGCAGTTAAATTGGTTTGAACTCTTATTATAAAATACACTGTAGGCTGGTTTTCATTGATGACCAAAAATTAAGGATTATTAGAAGACAAATTACTTAACTTCTCAGCTATTAATCAGGCAACAAACTGCCCACCGTGTACAATAATTCACAATCGTTTATTGGTCAGTCAGTGACTACATGCGTGCATGAGAATATTAGAATAGAATATGATAGATTATTTTTTTAATCAAGTATCAGAGAAAACTGTTTACACAATAAGAATACTTAGAAACAAACACAAAAAAAATCCAGAAATGCATTTCCTTTGTTAAAAAAAAAGATTAAAATAATAATAATAAAATAATAAAAGCAAAGGTAACCTCAAGGTATTTTGAAAAGAGAAATAAACACATTTAAGTGATGACAACAAGGATAATCATTGCACTTTAACAATAACTGCACCTCAACAGTTAAATAATAAAGGACTATGATGAATAAATAAACCATTTAAAAATAAGCAAACACTTTTTATAACACTAACATTTTTACAAAACAGTTATAGTTAAAGTAACTCTTTATATATTAAAGCAGGATCAGTAATTGACATCATAAAAACATGTACTTTTATTCATTCAGGTAATAAATACAATGCTTTGCTAGTAGCTCCGGTTAAAATTTAAACTAAAAAAGTTTTCTGCCAAAATAAACTTTGAATCTACAAATAATCACAGTGCATAAACACATTATTATTTATTTATTAATCTTTGTTTAACCAGGCAAAGACTCCAGGTCCAACTGGGGATTGAACCCATGACCTTACTGCTGTGAGGCAAAAGTGCTAACCGCTGATCCGCCGTGCTGCCAAACCTGCAGAAAACCTACTGATAACGGTTTGAGTTATAAAGTCTAGATTACAAAGTCTCAGCGAGAAGGTCGCTGGTTCAAATCCCAGCCGGGGGCCTTTCTGGGTGGAGTTTGTATGTTCTCTCCGTGCATGCATGGGTTTTCTCCGCATACTCCGATTTCCTTCCACATACCAAAAACATGCACGTTAGGCTGATTGGTAACTCAAAATTGTCCCCAGGTGAGACAGTGAATGGTTGTTTGGCTTGTTTGGATGGACTGGAGACCTGTCCAGGGTGTCCCCTGCCTCTCGCACATTGACTGCTGGTCATGGGCACCATTGACCCCCCGTGACCCGAAAAGGTAGAAGCGAGTAATGATAATGGATGGATGGATGGATACAAGTATTTGATCCACAAAACAGTGAGTCTGCTTTAATGTATGAAGAATCACAGCTAAAACAAACAACTGTGAATGCTTTATAAACTATTTACAAACTCATAAATAACCCATTTACAATGCAGTGAGAATCTCCTAATTAGGAAAGGGTATGAAAGAACCACACTATTGCAATTATTAATATAAAAGAGTGCATGTGGTTGCACATGAAAATGACCACACTGAGGTTTGTAAAAACATGAAAACAATAAATGTGCTCTTAATTGAGGAAATACAAATACCTTCATTAATATGAAAGGGGAGCTGATGAGATCTACATATTTGTTGAAAAATATATGAATAATATACTATTTGTCCACCATATGTCACAAAAATAACTTTAATTAGAGCAATTATGAGCTAACTCACAGGAGAATCTTAAAACTTGTGAAAAATGTGACAAGGCAATCCAACCAGAGGCACCATGTGGACACTGAAATAGCTAAGCGCTCTTTCTTATGCCTGAGATGGATGGGATTTCTCAAGCTGAGAGTGGCGTGGCAGTGGGAAGCACTATCTTTTCACCTCCCACACATTGACTGAAAGGTATTTTTAAATACTGGTGTCATGCAGTCACAGAGCTCGCAGGGCATATGGCAGGGAAGATGATGACCAATTTCTGGGAATTGCTCCAGCAGTGACAGTTGGTGTCCAACGTCACCACCTTTGATTACGGCAGCATGAGAATGACGGATACCGTGCGGTATCTCTCGGGCAAGGACATCACAGGGGAAATGAGCCATGGTTCAGCGAGGCTACCTCCTAATCCTGAAAGCCTTCAACCTTCCGAGTGAAAACAGTTTTCACTTCAGGAGAGGTCAGAGAATAAACATGCCTCCCGGAAAAACAACTGTGCAGCGTGTATCAGGTGGGATTCAATGCCAAGCTAAAACACCTACAGGTCTGCCCATCTGTACACCAAACTTAAGAAAACCTGTCTGTTACGAATCAGCAACCAAATGAAATAAAGGGAAGAAAAAAAACTTGACCAATTGCTGAATTACTGATTGTGCTTAATCAGAGTCAGAGCGATTCATTTGTCATTCACATCTCATGTGGTGCATGTGGTGGAACGAGACTATGTACACAGGGTCCCAGCTTCATCCAACAATAACATGTAAAAGGAAAACAGTAATAAGATCTAAGATATGAACTAATACAAACATCAACTAAATAATACACTAAGCACTGATAACATAAAAAAAATTACAAGACTTAGTTCTGTTAATTACCATATTTTCCAGCATATAAGTCACAGGTTTTTTGCAAAGATTTGTCAGTCCTGCAACTTATATACGTTTTTTTTTTTCCATATTCATAACATAATTCTTGACTGACACTTTAAATTTGGAAGAACTGGAAGAACGAGCATGGGAGGACTGGCTGTTGCCAGTCCTCCCATGCTCGCTTGCTTCACTGTGCTGGTGCAGGCAGACAAACGCTGGTGGTCTGGTGGCTCTGGCTGCGGTGGACGGATGGATTAATGGTTGGATGGATGAATGGATGGATGGCGCTGTGCCGGCCAGGCGACATGAAGCTGCTTTGACCATTAAAGTGAATTTATTAAGGAAAAGTTAAACCGAGACACACCTTTACTATAATGTTGAGCAAACAAATAATTGTTTTTAAGTGTTAATCTTATAAAATTTCAAAGAACTGCAACAGCGAATCCTCCCGTGCACGCTTGCTTCACTCAGCTGGTGCAGGAACGATGGAGAGCTAGCAGCTCTGGCCACAATGGATAGATGGATAGATGGATGGATGGATGGATGGATGGATGGATGGATGGATAGATGGATGGCGCTGCACCATCCAGTTGAAATGAAGCTGTTTTGACCATTAAATAAATGCATAATAAATGAGACTTTTATGTTTTTGTCCTCTTCATGATTCTTTGTTGACTGATGCGATGTATACTCTGGATAATACGGTACATAGTCCTCAGTTTGGGTCAGTGTCTTTCTGTGCTTAATTACACGTTCTCCTCTTGTTTGTGTGGGTTTTCTCTGGGTACTCCGATCCCCTCCCACATCCAAACGGTGTGTTTAGGCTGCTTTCAGGCCCGGGCCTTCATTTAAAAAGAGCTCTGTGATCTCAGTGGTATTCACCTGGTCAAATAAAGGTTAATGATAATAATAATTAGAGTCCACTGTCTGTTTGTTAGCAAAATAGTTCACAAACCACTAGATGGATTTTAATGAAACAGAAAGTAATCATTGCATGTCCATCAAATCTAATTAATGTTTTAGGCCAACTCAGTTGAAGATGGTTAACCAATGTTTTCAACACAAATGGCTGTAAGTCAGTCAGTTTTCAGATATGAAGTTATAATTTGATGTGTTAGTAGACAGAGATCAGTCCCAACACATACGCTGAGAGCTAACACACATATATTCAAGCTCTTGCATGAAACTGTGCACACCTACAAGGTTTGACCAAAGCAGCCATAACTCCTTCATTCTCATCATAAAATGAGCTTAGTTTAAAACTTCTGTGAAATATGCAGGCCTTTAAAGAACGCTAAGCCTTTTATATATTTCTGAGGGACGAGTCCGTGAATAGACTGTAAACTCCCACCTGTTGGTAGATGGGCTTGAGCTCCTCCAGGGACTGCTTGCTTGTGATGGAGTAGACCAGGATGAAGGCGTGGCCCTTGGAGATGGACAGACGCTGCATGGCCGGGAACTGATGGCTGCCTGTTGTGTCTGTGATCTGCAGCGTGCACACGCTCTTGTCGCAACTGATCACCTGTCGGTAGGTGTCCTCCACCGTGGGGATGTAGGTGTCCCTGAAGGTGCCTT